GGACACAGCTACTCCACCAAGCCCATATCTCTTAATCCTTTCCAAACAGTCCCACCAACTGAAACCAAATATTCAAACACATGAGCCTGTGGAGGTCATAGGCATTCACAACATCACAACTACAGCGCTGGGCATAGTGAGAATGTATCTAAAAAACACTCCCAATTCTCAAGACAACCAAGGGAAGCCCAAACTATTGAAGCTCCCCAAGCATTGCTACCACTAACTCACTGTTAGAGGCAGCCTGATCTACTGTCCCCACACCCTCAGAAGTGTCTGACTCTCAGCACACATTCCTCCTCTCTGCCCTCTCATTTCTGTGAATTACATCAGGACTTCATGTAGACATAAAGGAGCAATAAATATCCTAAAATATAAGAAAGGCACAGAACTCAATAGCAAAGGAAACCTACAGCTATCCCTGTTTGAAAATTGACTGAGAATCTGTGTAGACATTGTTAAAAGGAGATGTACAAATGGCCAACAGATAGGGACAAAAGTTCTTGGCAATAATCATCAGGAGAATGGGAATCAAATTTGCAGTGAGAGATCATCTCACCTTTTGTGCTGGGCTTGCCATCTGAGATGGGAATTAGAGCCAACAAGGAGCAGAGTACAAGATTGTTAAAGTGGGACTTGGTACAACAGCTATTGAAAACGCCGTGCATGTGTCTCCAGACATTAACGTTAGAACTACTATGCATTTTCGCTGTACCTGTACTGGGGGTATATCCCAAAGCCCTAAAGTCAGTGCTCCAAAAATATCTGAATCCCCACACTAACTGAGGCATCACCTACAGTACCTGTCCTAGGAACATAATCTAAATGTCTGTTAGTGGATAATCATATCAAGAATATAGCTGGATCTGGGGGCAAAACCTGCAATTACAGGCACTTGGAAGGCTGTGCCAGAAGGATAATAAGTTGATGACTTGCCTGGGCTACAGAATGAGCTTAAGTACAAATGTTGTGCAAATTACTGAGATACAGTTGCATTTCCTTTAGTTTTAAAATGGACTGGGAATTTAGCCAATTGAGAGAGTTTTTACTTGCCACGTGCAAAGACTACATTCAATCCAGGGGCTCTGTAAAAACTACTCCTCTTCTCTATGCACACAGACATTGTGCACACGAAATAAAACATCTTTTGACCACAGACAGGAATTTTGGCAGGCCCAAGGCTTGCCTGTTGTTTACAACAACATGGGTATAGTGAGAAAAAAGAAAAAAACGCACAAATAATCTATTACCTGCTTTCCAAAGAGAAGGAAAGTGTACAATAGTGGTTGCCAGTGACCTGAAGGTAGCATAGAGATGACAATGTGAACATAGAGGTGGAAATGACAGCTTAAGTGCACTAACTATTTTTTTTTATTTTAGGTATATAATGTATGCTATATAGACCTTGGTATCCTGCTTTGAAGTATGTATAGGTTGTAAATGTGACCACTGAGTGCATAATAAAGAGTCTGGGCTAGGTCTATAAAATTTATTTAACCATTTCAACACGTTCTACTTTTTGTTCCTATAAGATACAAATTTTTAAATTTAAATACATATCAAACATGTATGTTCAGCATCTATTGTTTACGACTTCACTGTACAGGAAATGTGCATGGTGGAAGATCGTAAATGCTTTCTCCACAGAGGAATAATGGTGACTCTGAGGGTGACTGATGGGATTTACCTTGATGGTAGTAGTCGTGTCACAATGGTTTACACACCTGGAAACCCAAAAGCATACAATTTTAATTTTGAGATTTTTTATTTTTGAGAAAGCTGGGGGGGGGGGATACATCGACACAGCTGTGAGAACCCAGGGCTCAAAACCCACAAGCGCTGAGCCCTTAGAAGTGGCAACACTTAAACTGGTCATGCCCTAGTTCACAGGCTAGGAGAAGAGAGTGCTCTTGGAGAGAGTACAGAGAGTCACTTGTGACTGGGGTGGGCAGTGGCAAGTATCTTCTCCCCGGAAGTCGGGACTCTGTAGTTCTGTAGAGTGGGAGGCAGGACACAGGGCCACCAAAGCCTAGAACTGTGTGTCTCAACCTTCCTTATGTTGTAATCCCTTAGTACAGTTCCTCACCTGGTGGTGACCCCAACCATACAATTATTTTCTACTTCATAACTCCAAGTTTGCTGCTGTTATGAATCATAAGGTAAACATGTGGTATGTAGAATGTTTGCTATGCAACCTCCAAGGGATCGAGACGCACAGGTTGAGGACTGCTGACCTAAAAGGACCATGCTAGGTGATTGTGGCAAGAGCTGAGATCAACAGCAGAGGTACGTCATTTGGAAAACAAAATGTAGTGCTGAGTATCCCAGTGAGCCCTGTGTGGGCAGTGGACAGCTAGTTCTGTGGTCACGATTAGTCAGCTTGGGAGGTGTTGGGCAGGATGGGTCTGTGTCTGGTCGGAGGGACAGATGTGAAGGCTTCTTATGCATCTGTCCAGCTGCCTTTATCCCACCTCTGTTTCTGCGTTCTAGATCAGCTACTGAAAGGAACCAAATATCACCAATTATTTCAATAGACATTCGTTGTTTCATTTCTGTGTCTTCTCCCTTTCTTCTCCACTCCCTTCGCACCCCCCCCCACACACACATGGACATAGAGAGGTTGACAAACTCAGAAGGCATAACCTCTGGGCAGACTGCCTTTCTCTTGGGAGGTGAAATTTCTAATTCTCTTTTGGGTTGGTAGTGCCGAGCCATGTATCTGAGGTTCGGCTAGGACTGGAGAAGTTGTGACACAGAGCTCACATTCTCAGCTGAGTTTGGATCTACTTGACACAAACGAGGGTCATCTGAGAAGAGGGAACCACAGTGGAGGAAACCCTTCTATCAGACTGGTGTGCAGGTCTCCTTGATGAACACTTGCTGGCAGAGGAACCAGCCAGCTGGGGCTGTGCCATCCATGGGCAAGTGATCCTGTGCTATGTAAGCAAAGTAAAGAAAGTAGCCCGAGAAAACCACAAAAGCTCGGCAACAAGAAGCCTTTCCTATGGCCTCTGCTTCAGTTCCTGCTTTGAGTTCCTATCTGTCTTCAATCAATTCTAGGACCCTAAGACATGGGTTGAAACAGGCCACTTCTCCCCAGCTTGCTTTAAGCGTATGGGGTTAATAGAAACCACAATCACAGGACCAAAGTCAGTAGACAGAGGACCTGTGAGGGGAGATGATGCTCAGCCCATCAGACCTGCCACAGAAAGATCACTTCTAAGTCATTGATCACACTGGGATTAGCTACTTGGTGATGGTTAGTCGGTGATGTCGATAGGACTGGATTTGGAATCAACTGGGAGACACATCTCCAAGGATGTCTGGGAGGATCTTCCCAGAAACATTTATCTGTAGAGAGAATGACTGCCCGGGAGTGTGGACTGCATCATTACATGGACTGGGTTCCAGGAGTGAATAAAAATGAAAAAGCAATTGCCAGTGTCCCCTCCTCCATGCATTCTGTTTTTACCCAGTTGTGGAGTCTCGGCTGCCTGCTCCTGCCACTGTGAAATCTTCCACATTCCCCTGCAGCCTGGATTAGATCTTTTTAATCTGTGAGCTAAAATATATTCTTTCTGTGAGCTATTTTTGAAAGCAATGAAAAACATAACCAATACAAACTCCAACTATTCTCTATCTGTGGGTCCCACCCTGGCTGTCCTACAGAAGTAGAGAGAAGGGCTTGAAGCTTGAAATTCTGTTGTCTCCCTGTACACATTCTGGCCTCTGAGAAGCCCCTCCTTCTCTCAGCAAGGAAGGACATTGGTTTCTTACAGCTGGTCCTGGTCAAGCATTTTTTTACTCCATTAGTTTGAAGCATATTGGAGATTGTCATTTGAAGGGAGATGGTATTTGTGATTTCTGTGTCCTATTTATGTCCTCCTGTAGTCAAAATACATTTTATACGTCAGTAAAACTGCCTAAGGGTAAAGATGAGTTGTGTTTTATCCTCAATGCAGCCTTGACCTGGGATAAATGTTTCAAGACCTTTCAGGGTCGCCCTAGGAAGACAAGAAACCCTCATAAAGTGGAGAGTGACCTTGTGTAGTAGAGACAAACAAGGCTGTTTTTTGGAACCTGTCTTGTCCCAAGGAACTGTGGGTGCTTGGGTGGTGTTGTGAGCAAAAAGTCTAAAGCCCTTTTAAAGGCTCCACGTATTCCTTGTGTATGCGTCCCTCTCCCATAATCTCTGCTCAAGACTTCTCAGCTATGAAGTCTGCATAGACTGCAAGGGGAGAGGCCTGCAAACTGCTCCTCCTGGATGTATGGAAGTGTGGGTCAGAGGTGCCAGCTGTGATATAGAAACAGTTCTGAGTGAGACTGCTTTGCTACAAAGACCGGAGCAAGTATCTTTGCCTCAGAGGGGGAAACTGATGTCCTAGGAGAACTCAGAAAGACACTTGCTCTCCCCTCCAAGATATCCCACCCCCATCACCAAGACATCATCCCCAGCACATCTTAAGTTGATGTCAGTAGGAAATGTAAATAAAATATAATGAAGCCAAAACATTGTAAAGCATGACGGCCTTTATTTCAACCGCACTGAACAAGATTCTCAGGGGGGTAAGGGCCTGGGCAGCAGAACGCCATGGCCCCGTTCTCGGCCTTTTTCTGCCCAGCGGCCTCTCCCGAGAAGGAAACAGAGAGACAAGTGGACCCTCACAAGCCCTGTGGGAATGGAGGGGAGGACTGGGGTGTTCTCTAGGGGAGAGGGAGAGAGTAATTGCAACTTGTTGTGAGTGGTAAGAGGCAGGCTGACTCAGAGCCCCACCTGAAGAACTTGGACACACGTGCCAGGGCTCTCTGGAACCGACCCTTCCAGGGCCTTCTCGGAGGAGCAGCCTTCCCGGTTCCTCTTGGGCCATTGGATGAGTCCTCCATGTTGTGAGCAAAGACATTACCTTCCTGGAAGTATTGTTGTGGGTTTCTCACAGTCTGAAAAAGAGAGTTGAGACCTCATGTTTGCGGTCCCTCATGACTGTTGTCCATTACCTCAGGTGGGTACTGTGATGTGTATCTGCACTACTGGTTGAGGTGCTGAGGATGGAGAAGTTGGGAGCCCTGGCCTGAAGAACCCCAGTACCCCTGGAGGATGTTCCAGAGCACATGAACATGAAGCTCACCTGCCCAGGGGGTGGAAAGAAGGGAAAGGATATCATCTTCCTAGAGTGTGACGCCCCACTCAGGACATTTATCCACAGTTCTGCTGAGGTCCCCACTGTGCTGGCTGTGGAACCGAGACCTGCCCCCTGCATAGCCCTAATCTCCACCCCTCCATGGCCCTAAGCCCCATTGTTCCTGCCCATGGTTCCTCCCTGCTTCAGTTCAGTACATTCTGCTCAACCAGTAGATACATTTCTGGAGCATGACCTTCGTCCTAACTCCCGCCCCCAGAACTTTCTGTTTCTTCCTCTGCATTTCACCTTCACTCTGGCCAGCCTGAATGAAGTTCTGCAGGCTGAACTGAAAATGCCGAGGACTTCGGGTACATGGTGAGTTCACTTTGCGTGGGGTCTCCACTGACAAACGTGCTCATGATGCCTGGCTGTGGTTGCTGTGTTAAATTAGGACTTTGAGGTTTCTCATGGCGCTCTCTTGGTGCTTGGTCCAAACCGTTCATAAAATTCCAGAACAAGGTCTGGTCATGGCGCTGTGAGGCTGGAAGGCCTGGACCCTACTTCTTCTCTCTGAGGCTTTTGCTCTGTGCAGGTTACCCGCATATCTGAGCATCTGCTTCTGGTGAATGATGGAAAGTATTTAGGGGACGGTAGAGTGTGTACAATGTGCAGGACAGTCCTCAGGTCGTAGGTATTAAAGGTTAGCAGTTTACTCTTAGAATCGAGATTCACTTTGGGTTACATCTTGGAATCTGTTGGAGCCATCGATCTTTGTTTGCTTTTTTTCCCCTCAGGGCACCCACTTTTTCTGTCCCATTTCCTAATAGTAGAATTATCGTGGAGTCTATGTAGTGCTGTCTGTGACCTGCCTCTGATCTCACTGGAGTGTGTGTCCTGTCCTAAGGTGACTCCGTGCTGTGGTGCTTACCTCCGTGTTGGAGCATGATAGTGAAATGCTGGGGTTCAGACATTCTCCATCTTTGTCCTCTTCCACATGTCGTTGGCCCTTGTGTGTTGTAAGCACTGCTATAGATCTTTGAGCGATAACTTTTCCTTTTCTTGATGATTACAGAGAGTGGAAAACTTTTGAGTGCTTTAAACAGTGAGCAGAGCATACTTTATTTTAATTTCTTTTTGCAAGATTTTAATAGTTTTTTCTAAACAAATGTTCAAGTGCTTATGCCCATATTCTTAACAGATATTTTGTTTGTTTTAATGTTTTTGTAAATGTCATTTAAAACCCTTTGGGTCTCCAAATTGTAGAAACAATCTCCTTAATTGTTTCTAATATAATGAATTCTATTGGGATTTTACATACTAAATTTTCTATTCAAATACTTTGTACAGAGTTTCTAATATTTAGAGATGATTTTTTATCTGGAATATGTAGTGATGAGGTGAGCAGGCCTGCTTTTTGTCCTGTCTGGCTCCTGCAAGGCTAGCTTAGCCCCAGAAATCATAACACAGAAACTGTATTCATTTAAACACTGCCTGGTCCATTATTTCCAGCCTTTTATTGGCTAATTCTCATATCTTGATTAACCCATTTCTAATAATCTGTGTAGCACCACGAGGTGGTGGCTTATTATGAAGATTCTAACCTACGTCCATCTTGGGCTGGAGCTTCATGGCGTCTGCCTGACTCTGCTTTCTACCCAGCATTCTGTTCTGTCTACTTCACCTACCAAATTTTCTGCCCTATCAAAAAGCCAAGGCAGTTTCCTTATTTAACCAATGAAATCAACACAAAACAGAAGACACTCCTACATCAGGAATATTGAGTATTTCTTGTATCAAATATGTCACTTTTAACGGAAGATAATCCAGAGGTGTTTTTTGTTTAATGTAATGCAATTAACTAAACAGTTCATAATTAGACAAAATACAGAAAACATTGACTGTGGAGTGTTCAGCCATAAGTGAGATATCTGTGTCATATGATCCCCTTTCCCTCTACTCCTCTCCACTCTGGTCTACCCCACCCCCACTCCACCAAGATTCAGGGAATTTTGTAAAGAGAAGGCAAGAATAGTATAAGACTCAAAGTCAGGGAAAACAAGGACTAACAGTGTCTTCTGCTTATCACAGAATCACTTACTTTTGAACTTGTAGCACATAAGCTGTAGACCATCTAGTCAGTCGATAATCTAGCATAATTGGGAGAGGGGGTCATGTTTCTGCACACCTCCTTGAAAAGTTATGGACAGTTGATAGATTTGGGGGTTGGAGAGAATTGACTTTTTCTTAAAGTGTGGCCTTAGTCTGTCATGCTCCTGTGGTTTGCCGTACACCCAGGATTGCACATTTGTTTTAGTGGATTATTAAAGAAAAACAAAGAGGACACAGAGTTTGGAGGGGTGGAAAGGTAGATGGTGAACATAGGAAGAGTTAAGGGAGGAGTGGGGTCTGAATATTTTAAAAACTCATTGTATTGATGTCTCACAGGGTTGATAAAAATATACAAAAAAGAGGACATGGCTGGGATGGGTCTGAGAGGAACTGGGGGAGGAGTCAGGTAGAGTATTATCAAAATACATTGCTTGCATATATAAAATTCTCAAAGAATTAATAAAAATATACTAAAATATATAACCAAATGGCATTCTTTTACTTCTTCCCTTTCAATCTGTATGCCTTTTTATTTATTTTGAGGTTTTTTTTTCAAACTCTTTATATATATATATATATATATATATATATATATATATATATATTATTGAGAAAAGGAGAAAAGAAAAAAAAAGTTTCCACCTGCTCCCAGCCTCCCATTTCCCTCACCCTCATCCCCCCCTACGCCCCCTCCTCCCACCCTTCTCCCCCTCCCCCCACTCCTTTCTCCCTCCCTCTCCAGTCCAAAGAGCAGTCAGGGTGTTCTGCCCTGTGGTAAGACCTAGGACCTCCCACCTCCGTCCATATCTAGGAAGATGAACATCCAAACTGGCTGGGCTCCCACAAAGCCATCACATTACGTAGGATCAAACCCCCGTGCCATTGTCCTTTGCGTCTCATCAGCCCTCATAGTTCGCCATGTTCAGAGAGTCCAGTTTTATCCCATGCTTTTTCAGTCACAGTCCAGCTGGTCTTGGTGAGCTCTCAATAGATCAGCTCCACTGTCTCAGTGGGTGGGTGCATCCCTCGTGGTCCCGACTTCTTTGCTCATGTTCTCCCTCCTTCTGCTCCTCATTGGGACTTTGGGAGCTCAGTCCAGTGCTCCAGTGTGGGTCTCTGTCTCTATCTCCATCCATCACCAGATGAAGGTTCTATGATGATATGCAAGATATTCGTCAGTATTGCTCTAGGATAGGGTCATTTCAGGTTCCCTATCCTCAGCTGCCCAAGGAACTAACTGGGAACCTCAACTTGGGCACCTGGGAGCCCCTCTAGGGTCAAGTCTCTTGCCCACCCTAAAGTGGCTCCCTTAACTAAGAATTGTGGTTCCGTGCTCCCCTATCCACCCTTCCTTTCAAATGGCCAAAAGACACTTAAGGTCGTGCTCAACTTCCTTAGCAATCAGGGAAATGCAAATCAAAACAACTTTGAGATATCATCTTACACCTGTCAGAATGGCTAAAATGAAAAACACCAAGGATAGCCTTTGCTGGAGAGGCTGTGGAGGAAGGGGTACCCTCATCCATTGCTGGTGGGAATGCAATCTTGTGCAACCACTGTGGAAGTCAGTGTTTCAGTTTCTCAGGAAATTCGGGATCAACCTACCCCTGGACCCAGCAATACCACTCCTGGGAATATACCCAAGAGATGCTCTATCATATGACAAAAGCATTTGTTCAACTATGTTCATAGCAGTATTATTTGTAATAGCCAGAACCTGGAAACAACCTAGATGCCCTTCGATGGAAGAATGGATGAAGAAAGTATGGAATATATACACACTAGAGTACTACGCTGCGGTAAAAAACAATGACTTCTCGAATTTTGCATGCAAATGGATGGAAATAGAAAACACTATCCTGAGTGAGGTGTCCCAGACCCAAAAAGATGATCATGGGATGTACTCACTCATAATTGGTTTCTAGCCATAAATAAGGGTAACGGAGTCTACAATAGGTGAACCTATAGAAGCTAAGTAAGAAGGTGAACCCAAGGAAAAACATATAGTTATCCTCTTGGCTAGGGGAAGTAGACAAAATTGCCGGGGAGTAAAATGGGATCTTGGGGGTGGGGTGGGATGGGGGTAAGGGGAGATGGGGAGAGATAAAGTAGAAGGGAAGGAGGGGGGGGCTTGGGGAAATAGGAGGATTGGGATATTTTGAGGTTTTTTGTTTCTATGTGGCAGCTATGGCCTAAAGTTTAATGTATGCATATGGTTTAATTTGTATAGAGAGACATTCGAGCCCATTTCTGATTTTTTGAATGGAGTATTCTGTCTTTTCAATATCACATGTTTTCTTTCATCCATACAATCTAATTAATGTGTACATGTATATAGACATACATACATCAAAGCTAAAGAGACAACATTTAGAGAAAGAAAAGAAACTAAAGTGTGGTAGAAACAAGAGAGTGATGAAGGAAAATAAAGATGAATATGTTTTTTCTCATGTATAGAGTCTTCATTCAATTGTATGTATATACATGTATGTGTGTGTGTGCATGTGCATGTATATAACATGAAAGTAGAAGAGGAACTGTTTGGGGGTAAGAAGAGGACTGGGTGGAAGATGAGCACGTGAGTGCAATGGAAGGATATATGAGTAAAGCACTGTGCTAACCATGTGAAAATGTCAGAACTCACCCATCATTTTGAATGCTAAATAAAAATTATAAGATAATAAGACTATAAAAGTTAATGAAAAAGAATTATTTACCTTTTCACCAGTAAGTATATTTCTAGCAATGGATTTTTTGGTAGATGCATTTTATTGGATTGAGGCTATGTCCTTGTGCTCCCACAATGCCAACTTTTTAATCTGATATTTATCATGAGTGGGCTTTTATGTTGTTAAATATCTTTTCTGTTATACATCTTGGTAACTGCTGTCCTTTTATTTTATACCACTAATACAGTAAAATTCATTGGTGGGTCTTTTTGAGACAAGGTCTCACTCTAGCCCAAGCTATCATGGAATTCATTGTGTAGTCAAGGCTGACCTCAAATCTGTTGGAATCCAGTTGTCTGAACCTTCTGAATGCTGGGATGTGTGCATATGCCATTAGACCAAGCTTTAGCATTGGTATTTAAATGAAAGTCGTCTTGCATTTCTAGGGTAAGCTATGTTTGATGTTGGATGTTTTTCATACATTCTTGAAATCAAACTGCTAAAATTTCATGAGAGAGGTTTGCATCTATGTTCATGAGGAATATTGGTCAGTAATACTACCTGTGGCATCTTTTATTTCTTCATAGAAGTAATGTTGAACACATTAAATAAATAGGGAAGTTCTTTCTTTTACTTTCTAAAAAAGCTCTTGTCAGATTGCTTTGGCATTTTGTTCATTGGACATAATTAATACCAGTGATGATTGAGGCATGTGTTGAGTCAATGAATAAAGTATGACATTTCAGTGAGGCAAGTCACAGTGGCTGGGGAAACTTGATAGATTCAACTTAGTCCCAACACAGCAGTAGATTGCTTGTCCAAATAAGGGGGTAAAAGCATTGTTGCCTCTTCAAGTCTTAGGACTGTCAAAATCGTGCCTTCTTTTCCTATGTATAGTGTCTGGGAGACCTCTTCTATATGTAACTAATGTTAGGTCTACAAATCCCCCTGTTTTAGGGAACTACGCAAGGCCTTGTCTGTTGTAAGTGCCTTCAAGAAGAAACAGATAAAGAGACGCCTAGTTCGGAGACAGAGAAGGATGATGATGGCGGCTGCCTCTAATGCACACATGCATGTCAAGAAATTGACTATGGAAGAAGGAGTTTGCAGTAAGTGTCTTTCACTAAATAGGGTCCCTGAACTTGGGGAGGAAGCATGAGTATTTTTGTAACCAGTCCCATCACTGACATGCAGTGTAACCTTCAGCAAGAACTCTCTGATGTATAAAAAAAAATCATTGTCAGGTGCCAAAGTGTTTACAGGAAGGAATGATTGGGCAAGGCATTAGGGAGCAGAAAAGATCAGTAATGACATGAGATTTTAGTATAGGTGTGGGGTTATTATAGAAAGGGGATGGTAGGGGAGGAAGTCTGAACCCTGTGTGACCATTATTTTATAGCTGGAAAGAACACTATGCATCAGCTCCAGGTCAAGGTTGACGCAGCAACCCAGGAGGTAAGAAGAGTCTGTTGCCCAAGGGGAATTTTCCTATCAGCCATTGCCCAGACCCTTTCCAGTATATCCCGAAGACAGTTTCCATTTCTAATCCTATGACCTACTCCTCTTGTGGCACTGGAAAAATCACTTCTCTCTGGACCTCAGTGTTCTCAAATCAGAGGAAAATGTAAGGTTGGATGGTCTTCAAGGTTCCCACAGCTTGGAATTCTGTGTTCTTATTTTCATCCAAAACTATACTCATTCTTAATCTTTCCATGAACAACTGGGTGTCTGATCCTTATCTTTGATCTCTGCCTCTTCAGGAGAGCTCTAAGGGGCCTGTGCTGCTGAGTCAGCCCCCAGAACTAACATCTATGCCATATACTCCAGAGACCACGGGGCAACAACTGGCAGTTTCCCTTTCAGGGGAGCTCCATGGGCTCTCTACCATGCCGAGCATGTGAGTAGGACAAGGAACATAGAATGTACTGTGTTTGGGGATTTCCAACTTTGTGTTTAGTACCATGGGTGTTAGCAGCAGGAGAATGACAATAGGAAGAAGGAGGTAAAGGAGCAAGGGAAGGAGAAATTAGCAAGGGTAGAAAACTTTCAGCGTTGCCACTTTCTATCCAAGAGGATCTGCACAAGTAGTTTTCCAAGTCTCCATTTCCCAGCAAGCATGTTGGTGGACATAGTCTATATCTATACCATTGAAAAGAGAACTAACACAAGGTCTACCACATAGTAGGTCTTCAAAGTGTTGAGAATGTTATTACTTTTTGACAGAGAAGGAAGGTCCTGCTGAAATCTGGGAGCTTTGTAAAGAGGTTTCACAGGGCCTCAGGAGTCTGTCCAAAGGACAGTGAACCTGAATTATCTTTCATGGCCAGAGCTAATTGGGTAAAGTGGGGGCAAGATGCAGCCACTGAAAAAGGATGGTACTCACAATGCCTTCAGCTGCTTTCAGACTAAAACATAGACACTATGATTCATCATCATCATTTTCACTCTAGCCCTGGGAGGAAAAAGCCAGTATAAACTATTGTTTCTGGCATGCAGGTAAAGGGGATGCTGAAAATGAGTCAGCCAATAGAAAGGGCTTGCCCAAAGCACAAGGTTAAATATCCATGCAATCATTTGGATTCCCAAATCTCAGTATTGCAGATTCCTGCTACATCGTCTACTGGTAGGATATTTCTATGAGAACATTTCTTTGGGGTGTGTGTGTGGTTGAGATAGGGTTTATCAGTAGCTTTTGGAGCCTGTCATAGAACTAGCTCTTGTAGACTAGGCTGGCCTCGAACTCACAGAGATCTGCCTGCCTCTGCCTCCCAAGTGCTGGGATTAAATGTGTGTGCCACCACTACCAGGCTTCATGAGAACTTTTAATACCTTGGCCCTTCCTCTTCTTACAGGTGCCCAAGCCTGATGCTTCAGCCCTGTGCCACTACTGACCCTATGCTACTGCAGTCACAGGTCCTGGTAAAGACACGGGATTCAGAACAATGGGAGGAAATAAGTTTTAGAGATGTGAACACAAGTAGACGGGGCAGAGTGGGGGGCATCTGGGCAGCAGGTGCTAGAGGGTTACTTATCATAGAAGAGGACACACATTTCCCTAGTCTTCATTTTCTCACCCTTTCTTCTGCAGGGCCCCAGTGCCTCCAACCAGGCTTCAGTTTCTGCTACCTTGGAGTGGCAGGAGATGCTGGAGGCTGCTGAAGCTCTGATGACTCTGAAAAATTCTTCGCAGACACGTCACCAGCCCTGTGGTGTACCAGGTATGTGGGGATATTTGGCAGACAGAAAGCTGTGAGATGAGTTATTGGTAGCTATCTAGAAACCCAGAGTTGGTGTTTTTAACTACCTTGGAGCCAAGCACTCAAGTTCCTAAGGCTGACTTGAGCAATGGTGCCTAGGGGTTACTCAGTGAATCTTCAGGTCACTAAATGTTTTGGTCTATAAAAATTGCCCAGTGCCCTGACATCAAGAAACAGGTAGACTGAGGTCCCTGAGATAGCAAAATATTACTTCAGGGGAAGCAGTATATCAAGTAGAAGGAATAGAACTGGATATAATGGTTCCCAATGCATGGTTGTGTCCCAGTCCACTGTAGACTGAGAAGAACCAGTAGAACATGCACAGAGGATAAGGGTCTGGCATGGAACGAGATCATGATGGCCACTTGAAAGCATTTCCAATGTAGATACAGAGCCTGAACAGCCTTATCAGGTAGAATTTTGGCAGTGAATTTCAGTGGTCAACCCAAACAGGAAGGGCTTCCTGAGATCAAAGGAGTATTACATGATTGGGGAGGCTGAGGTGGAGTCTGGGCACTACTGAGACAAAAACACCAATGGATATTGGCTTGTGGGTGGGAAGCCACTCTGGGTGGACATGCTGGAACAAAAGGCAATTAATGAAACTATAGAGAGATTGTCACTGAGGTCTAGCAGAGTGGGTGATGTAGGCTAGGCCAGCAAATCTGTGGGGTGAGGAGATAGAGAATTTCTTCAGTGAGGATCATATCTAGAAATCCCAGGTTTGACCAAAAGGGTTTGCCTGAGGGATGGTAGAGCAAATACCAGAGATAAGGAGGTCTGATGGGGATTGGTATATTCCTGGTCTCTCTGACAAATCTGAGATTGTTTGAGACACAACAAAGGTGAAGAGAGAGCTGAGGAGAGTATTATGTATGTGATCTGACTTTGGTCTTTGTTTTTCTGTCTTTAGGTCCTGCTGGAGAGAGGGGACTGCAGCTGGCCAGCCCCACAATGCCACCTCGGCCTGCTAGCTCTGGTTCACTGCCTTCTGGACATCTGGATTGCATGTCCCTCTTGACCTAAGAACCCAGACTGTGAGGCCTTGCTAGAGCACTGCCTGTTTGATTCTTGTTTCTGAATTTGCAAAATGGCTCCTGCCCAAAGTGCTTAATGTGTTTTTTAAGCATTCAGGTATTTTATAAGCTTTCAGATCCTTTTTATGATGTAGGGCAATTACTTGGCTTTCCTATATTCTTTATCCCCATCCTTTATTTCTTTGGAAGCTTGGGGCTTTTTATGTGTCTTATAAAATGCTTTGTGCAATCTAATATGATCAATCAATCTATCAGTGGGGTTCTGAGTGATATCAAATGCCAGTGTTTTCCTTTGTGTGCACTTGCACACTTATCTGTGCACTACTGTACTTACATATGTATGTGGAAACATGAGGATTTTTCACATTGCATCTAGATTTGTGTGTTACCAGAAATAAATAATTTTATAAGGCACTAAGAAGTATGGGTTGTTTGTTAAGTGGCATATGACAAATATCAAGGAAGACTACGTAAACAGTTATCTAGAAATTTATTCTATTGAAGCATCAAGTAAGAGGTTTAAAAGAGCAAATATCAGTTACAATGTCTTTCAGAATTGCACAGCCCCTTTATTTGCTACCAAAGTCAACATTGTGCAGTATTCAGTGGTCTTCTTCATCCCTGGAGGAGGTTCTGTGTCCTCTAATGTTTGAACTCATTGCAGAAATAGAGATCCTATCAGACAGACAGAAATTTCAACCAGACTTTGTTGGATGAACTCTTTCCTTCCAAACCTTTCCTCATTCCATCACAAATGATTGTTGATGACATCTATTTATACTATTTCTTCTTTCCTGATGCTATGCTAATCAGAATTCTGATATTTTCCATATGATGATGGAATCAGTTAGGATATGGAGCAAGACTGAAGAACATCTTACTTTCCTTCTACTCCCTTGAGTAATTACATGGATAAATGATCCCTAAGTCCATTCATTCCCAATGACAGATGTTTAAGGTCAAGTATTCTTGAAGGAGTATGTGAGGAATAGCCAAGGTCCTGCTATACAGGGACATCCTCACCATGAGTTGGTTCCATAGCTGAGTTATTCATTTTGGATTTGTAGACACCACTAGGCAATGTTTCCCATTCCGAATGCACAGAAGTTATGTATGGTGAGTGCAATACTTATATAATCTATAAACCATTATCAGTATTTAACTTTTTAGTTGAAATCTATTTAAGATTTCTATTCTGAGCCAGGCGGTGGTTGTGCATGCCTTTAATCCCAGAACTTGGGAGGCAAAGGTAGGCAGATCTCTCTGAGTTTGAAACCAGCCTAGTCTACAAGAGTTAGTTCCAGGACAGGCTCCAAAGCTACAGAGAAACCATGTCTCAAAAAACCAAAAAAAAAAAAAAGATTTCTATTCAGATATAGTGTGAAGAAGACATCCAGTTATACGGATACCATGAATTAAACATTTTCCAAAGTAAGTGGCATTCATATTATGATAGTCAAGAATACATGGACTCCAAGACCCATGAGAAGTATAGAGGTCATTTGAGAAGTCACAGCACATAGACCATGATTAAAACAAGAAAGAATTCTAGCTCTGGTTGTAGGGAAATTCTCAAGTATGTCTCTTTATGCCCCTATCTCTACTATACATAAGGTAGAAAAACCAGGAGAAATCTGGAACACTTAACCCCTAAGTTAGTAGTGAGAATGACTTGGTAGACTGGCCTATGAATTCAATGTTCTGGGTTATACAGCAGTTATATGGCAAACCAGTTTCTATCTTGCCTGATTTGAAAGGCTGAAGGAAATTGATTGGCCATTGGAAGCCCCTTACAACAGGCCAGAAACATTTAAGAGCTGAAGGTCTAAATGCAGATATCATGTGAACAAGAAACTAGCAAAGATTATACAAGTAACTGAGCCTCTGGCCTATTGGCAACAATCTTCCTATATGCTAAACCAGGGTGCAGTCTTGGAAAAGTGTTTTCTTTAAAACCTTCAAATCCAAACAAAACATTAAAAGACATATATATTAACAGAGAAGGATGGGACAGTTACAAAAACAAATTAAAACTCCAAAAGTTGTACTGAAAGAAACTCAGGACTAGGAGAGACATCAAAAAGAACAGAAATGCTCACCTTACGAGACCTGGATAGAGGTGGGCAGTCCTTGGGCTTCCCACAGGTCAGGGAACCCTGATTGCTCTTCGAGCAGATGAGGGAGGGGGACTTGATCGGGGGAGGGGGAGGGAAATGGGAAGCGGTTGTGGGGACGAGGCAGAAATCCTTAATAAATAAATAAATTTAAAAAAAAAGAACAGAAAAAAATCACCCTAACAATGTTTGATAAGTTAAAAGTCAACACAGAGAGTCAAAAACAATGTATAAAATAACAACAAAAATGAAGACAGAAGTCAACATTTTTATTAGATCTTTTTATTTTATGTATGAGTGTTTTGTCTGAATAAATGCATATGTTTCACATCCGTGTTTAGTACCTGTGGAGATTCAGAAGATGGTAAGATGGTATCAGATTCCCTGGAACTTCAGGTAACATGTTTGTGAACCACCATGTGGCTGCTGGGAGTCAAATACAGGTCTTCTGCAAGAACAGGTTTCTTTCCAGGCCCTGCAGTTTCTGATTTTAAACCACTGTATAAAGTTACAATTATCAAAGTGTCTGGTATTGGGCATACAAAAAAGACAAACAGTCCAGGAGAAAACCATAGTGCCAAGAAATAAATTCTTACCCATATGGTTAAATGACCTTTGACAGTGGGCCCACTGGATGAAGGACAGTACTGCCTCAATATGACATATTGGAAAACCACATGGAAAAATGCAGTTGGTACATTGCATCATCTAAAAATTATCTGAAAAGAATTAAGGCACAAGAAGAAAAAAAGTTGTTGAATTTAAATTGGTCTGCCTTTTCTCAGAACAAGATGAAAATGAAATATTCCTGTTGTTTTCATATCATCTTTGATTATTGTGATCATTGCTTTTAAAATAATTTAATTTGTGTTCAATTGTGATTGAAATAAACTAATTTAAAATCATTTCAGATTTTCATAATACTTAATGACTCTCCAAATTTGTATAGCATTTGTATTACTTTTGAAGTGATGTTCATGCATAACCATGTATGATTATTGATCACCTTGTCAGCAAATAGAAGAACAATTTGAGTGATTAGTTTCATACCTTTGTAAAGCAAGCAAAAGAAAACAATATGAAACATATAGCATCAATATATGTAGGTTAAGATCAATACCAATAAGATCTCCATAAAAAGATTTGACTTTTTTATTCAGTTTATTCTTTTCTATCTCTTTTATTCAGTTTACTTTTTAAATATCTCTTAATTGTTACAAAGGATGTTGACTTCATTGTGAAAATGAAGAAAGGCCATGAATTTGAAAGAGACCAAGGAATGGTATATAGAAGGTTTTGGAGGGAGGAAAGGAAAAGGGGAAATAATGTAATATATTATAATCTGTGATGGTTTGAATGAGAATGACCCCCATAAGTTTATATGTTTGAATGTCTAGGTCTCAGTTGGTAGACTGTTTAGGAAAGATTAGCAAATAGGTATGACCTTATTGGAGAAGGTGTGTCACTGAGGGTGAAGGATAGGCTTTGATGTTTTAAAATCCTGTGCCAGACCCAGTTTTATTTTCTCTTCCAGCAATTTACAGTTCAGATGTAAGTTCTCAGCTACTGCTCCAGAGCCATACTTGCCTGCCTGCTGACACAGAGTCTCCACTGTAATGATCACAGACTAACCTAAGCCTCTAAAACTATAAGCAAGTATACAATTAAATGTATCTTCTATAAGTTGTCTTGGTCATAGTATTTTGTCATGCTGATAGAACAGTAACTAAGACATAACCACCAAACAGAAGCAATTTTTCAAACCATAAAAACTGATCAATTATTGCCTTCTTTGTGCATTTTTTATGTGAAATGAGGTCTTCCTATATTCCTAGGTTGGCTTTGAACTCTTGACTAAAGTGATCCTCTCACTTTATTAAAGCTTAAATATTTTATTTCATGGTTTATTCGGTTTCTAATTTTGGTGGGGAGTTTCTGAGATTGTGTTTTGTTTTGTTTAGAGCTAATGGGCCAGGCAGCATTTAAATAAATACAGTTTCTGTGTGATTATTTCAGGTATAAGCTAGCTGAGTGGTTGGGACGACAAGCAGCCTGCCTTCCTGTTACAGACTGGCACCCATGTGGTCAACTAAATCCATGTGAAATCTGAGAGAGCTTCAAAAACAATACAGAGTTTAACACAGCTTCTTGCTGTTTGCTGGTGGCTTGCCACAGCTGCTTTAAGAGAGATTTTCCTCATTCAGCTGTAGTGGGGGGGGGGGAAGCCACACAGTTTTAAAATGCCAGCTTTCATGGCTATGCTGCTAATGTGACCTTTGTCTCTTGTGGGAGACAGAGCATTTGGATGGGATTTGTGAGTAAAGTACTATGGCTTGCTTGATGGAAATGTGGACTTGCTGTGTGCCTAAAAGAGAGGCAACACATACAGCTCAGAGGCACAAGCATCTCTTCCATGCTGGACTCTGCAGAGTGTGGGCAGGAACTACTATCTTTACCATAATAACAGCACAGCTTAAGTTTTAGACTGGGAAGACAAACAGGCTGTACCATATTACTCCTAACAAGGGTACACCTGAAGATTTTAAGAAGCGCTTAGCATTTTAAGAAGTGCTCCTGGACAATAAAGACTTACAGATTCACAATAGGACAGATTCAGACATAAAAGACCTCTAAATGGGTCACAATGCTGGATAAATGTACATAGGCTTGGGGGAGACAAAAAAAAGAGTATAGACTATAAAATAAAGTTAATGCTTTAAAAAAATAAAAGTAAAATCTTTAAAGAGACAGGCAGTACAGATAGTCATAGATTAAAATGAGGAAAACAATAAGCCACATAAAAATGGAAAATTCACAGAGACTCTGGATTCTGTATATTATTGTGTTTTCTTTGAAACGTTTGACTGTGAAGGAGCTAAGTACAGAGAGACATTTCATTGCTTGAGCTGCTAAGCTAAACCAGCATGCATATTATAAAGGTATTATGACTTCAGGATTTGGGTCTAAGGATATGGTGCTTTGGAAAAGAGGTTCTTCTTTAGTTTTCACAGAGGATGAGACCCTGTGTACTCCTTCTAGACCAATTTGGTATGTTAGACCACGCCCTCCTGAAAGGTTGCTATAAACACTCTCAGAAAATTACTTCATTCAACTTCTGACTGAGATGAACCTAGCACACAGGATATACCATGAAGGACCTGATTAACAGTGCCCCCATATAGCAGGAAGAAGTTTGGAGAGAAATAACTATGTCCATATTCTCAAATATTGTTTATAAATCTTTGTTTTCATTTAAAGGGGGATATGATATAGAAATAAATAATTTGCATTGG